TTTTTTAGTAATAAAAATTTTTTAAATTAAGGTATATACATTGGGGGTGTTTTTAGACATAATGCTATTAAACACTTAATAGAATACAGCATAATATAAATATAACTTTTGCATGTACTGGGAAACCAAAAATTTGTGACTCACTTACTATAATATTTAGTTTTTAGTGGTGATCTGGAAGCAAACCCACAGTATCTCCAAGGTATGCCTGCATTGAAAGGGAAAAGAAAACTGTCAACTTAGAATGCTATACCCAGCCAAATTATATTTCAAAAGCAAAGGTGAAAGAGACTTCTTCAGTCATAGAAAAGCTAAATGAGTTCATCACCAGCAAGACTGTACTGTAAGAGTCATCAAAACAAGTTCTTCAAGCAGGCAAATACCAGGTGGATATTTGGAATTACACAAAGCATGAAGAGCTCCAGAAATAGTAACTTTCATAAAAATGTTATTTTCTTATGTAAATCTTCTTAAAAGAAAATCCATTTAAAATAATGACAGCAATGACAACAAAGAACCCAAAACAACAAATAAAAACAATTAAGTGCGGGGTGTATATGCGTGTGTCTGTGTGTATGTTAGCTGCTCAGTCGTGTTCAACACTTCAACTCTTTGCAACCCCATGGACTGCCACCAGGCTGCTCTGTTCATGGGATTCTCCTGGCAAGAATACTGGAATAGGTTGCCATTTCCTTCTCCAGGAGATCTTCCTAACCAAGGGATCATACCCAGGTTTACCACATTGCAGGCAGATTCTTTACTATCTGAGCCATCAGAGAAGCCCCATATGTGTATACACATGCACAAATGTGAAATGAATAGCAGCAAAAGTCTCTAGCAAGCCTGAACAGAGTGTGGGAAGGAAGTAAAGAGAAAAAGAATTTTAAAAAAAACAAAAAAAATTTAAAAAAATAAACAAAATATTCCTTTATCAGTAAAATATTCCTTTACCTAAGCCTGGACTATAAGTTGAGACAAAGGTTACAAAAATTCTAATACTCTATATCCCTTGACTTGGAAAGAGAGAGAAAATGTTATTTTTAATAAAAATAAAAATTATCCAAACTGACTTTTGAGAAAGTAGAAAATCGAAACAGATCAATAACCACAAAAGACATTGAGAAGTAAACTGATTAAGTCTAAGACTCGGATAATTTTAATAAAGGAGTTTGACTAGTTCTAAAGAAATAGGTAATCCTCATATTATTCCATTTTTTCCAGGGCAAAGAAAAAATAAGCTTACTAATTCATTCTATAACACCTGCAGATCATAATTCTAAAACCAAACTAAACAATTATTTTAAGAAATCTCAAGAACATAGATCCAATAACTTAAAATTTTGAAAAACAACATTCTAGAGTGTATTAAAGGCACAGTATATTGTGATACAATTTTTATAATAGGATACAATGATGGTTCAGGGTTAGAAAATCTATACCAGAGAAATTTTTGATGTTGAAGTCTCCCTTTTCTATTCAATTATTTGAGCAGTGTTCTTTATTCACTCATCAAAAATTTACCATGCATTATATATATGCCAGGCACTGAATACTGGGAATTCAGTGGTGAAAATATGAGGTCCTGGCCTTCATGGAGGTGTCTAGTGAGATACAAATTAAAAGACAGTTTTAATACAATATAAAGGCTATGATGAGCACCAAAGAATTGATGCTTTTGAACTGTGGTGTTGGAGAAGACTCTTGAGAGTCCCTTGGACAGCAAGGAGATCCAACCAGTGCATCCTAAAGGAGATCAGTCCTGGGTGTTCATTGGAAAGACTGATGTTGAAGCTGAAGCTCCAATACTTTGGCCACCTGATGCAAAGAGCTGACGCATTGGAAAAGACCCTGATGCTGGGAAAGATTGAGGGCAGGAGGAGAAGGGGACGACAGAGGATGAGATGGTTGGATGGCATCACCGACTCGATGGACATGGGTTTGGGTGGACTCTGGGAGTCGGTGATGGACAGGGAGGCCTGGCGTGCTGCGGTTCATGGGGTCGCAGAGTCAGACACGACTGAGCACATGACCTGATGGGAACACATAAATTGGTATGTGAACTTTAGGGTGCTGTTAGAACATCCCTGTTGAGATGATTGCCTATTCTAGGATGGTGGCAGTGGATAGAGAGACAAAGGCCCTACACAACATAGAGTGGTATAAAATTTCCTGACTACTGACTGGATGGAGGAGGGTAGAGTCAAAAGATTCTTTAGGGGGAATCTTAAGGTATTCAGATAAATGTATTAATTTATACATTTTTTATGCATAAAAGGGTAAAATAAGGGTCAAGTTTGAAAAAGGTATAAACATTATTGCAGCAAGTTTTATGGCATTGTTCTGTCACTATGAGAAAGTCACAGTGTTAGTATATAATGTTTACAAAACACTGGACTACAGAACCCTGTTGTTTCGCTGAACAACTTATGAGAGTAGTTTCATGTAACACACACTGGGAGAAATTGCTCTCCATAAAAACAATTTCTTCCTTTCTGCTCCTGCAAGTCTCAATACCTCAGTGCAGTCTCACGAACTGTATTCAATTCTTCATGGCTGTCTTCTTCTATCCCTTTACACCAGGGTTCCCAACCTCCTGGATATAATGCCTGATGATCTGAGGTGGAGCTGATGTACACAGTAAATGTGCCCAGTAAATGTGATAAGCTTGAATCATCCTAAAACCATCCCCCCTACCCACTCCAGTCTATGGAGAAATTGCCTTTCATGATACCAGTCCCTGGGGTCAAAAAGGTTAGGAAACACTGCCTTATACAGCACATGTATTTATTTAGGTTACTTCCAACTGGGTGAAGCTGAAGCGAAAAAAGATTCACTGGGACCTCATAAGGGGTGTCCCAAAAACCATTAAAAGAAAAATTTTATTCTGAACCAGTGACCAGTAAATCTGTATGAAGGGATCTGACCCACAGGTAAGTCACAATATAGTATTAATTTTTGTTATTATCTACAAATGCTAATGAATAAATTTCCATATAGGTAAGACAACTGAAACTAACAGGCTCATTAGAGATAATGACCTGAAGAATTCAATGGACTGTACAGTCCATGGGGGGGGGGGGGGGGTCAACAGTCAGACACAACTGAGCAACTTTCACTTTCATTAAAGACTTCTATTTTAAATTTATTTTTTAATTGAAGGATAATTGCTTTACAGAATTTTGTTGTTTTCTGTCAAACCTCAACATGAATCAGCCATGAAGTGAAGTTGCTCAGTTGTGTCCAACTCTTCGAGACCCCATGGACTGTAGCCCACCAGGCTCCTCCATCCATGGGATTTTTCAGGCAAGGGTACTGGAGTGGGGTGCCACGGCCTTCTCCAGAGGCTCTTCCTCACCCAGGGATCGAACCCAGGTCCCCCGCATCGGAGGCAGACACTTTACCGGAGCTGCTTCGCTGTTGCTTAGTTGCTAAGTTGTGCCTGACTCCTCTGCTGCCCCAGGGACGGTAGCCTGCCAGGCTCCCCTACGCCTGGGGTTTCCCAGGCAAGAATACTGGAGTGGGTTGCCTTTTCTTCTCAAGAACTGCTTAAAAGGGCAGAAACCTCTGATCTTAATGCTCTCTGTGCTAGTAACTACTGTACAGCTTCACATACCTAGGCACAGAAAAGTGTGCATATTTAAAAACAGAGAAAAGCAAATGTACAAATTCCTAGACACTAGGGAGCGTAACCAAATTACAGTGCTTAGAAACATAAACCATGTGTTACTGAAAATCTGATTCTAAAATATTAAGTTTGGTATGTTCAAAAGGTATATTTCAGGATGCTCTAAAAACTGACACTTTTAACACCAGGAAATCACTGAATAAAAGTGTGTTGCCAGTTTTTTGTGTGCAATGTCCCTAATGTTAGTGACGTCAAAAAAAAAAAAAAAGACATACTCTTTCATTTTGTTTTCAATATATTAAAAAGCAACATAATACAAATGCTGTAGTTAATATTAAAAAGGATCCAAATTTTACAAGGAATTAATTGTTATAAACAAGTTCTACAATGAAAGAGAAACAGCATCTTGATACATAAAAGTGTTGTTAAACAAGATTTAAAAATTTTTAAATCAGAAAATGTTTCAGACTAAATTCTTTCAAATGTTCAAACAAAAACAAAAAGTAACCTGTACAATCTCCATAGTAAGATGTGTCCCTGTACACTTGTCCTGGGTACAATGTTAAAATTTTCAAACTTTGAGTCACAGAGGCAGTACTTGAAAAAGTACATTTTCAGTAAAACATTTTACCATTTATCCAACTATGCATTTATATTTTTGTTCTTCCAGAAATAGGGGATTTATATTAACACTGTATTTTTACTGTAAAAAAATACATTTAGTGATATTTAACTTCCTGAGTGGCCTCAGTCATACATCAATTTAATGAGCAAATTCTAAAATTTTACAACGAAATAGCATGTGTAGATGTACACTTCTATGCTCAAGATCATGTCACAGAACTTACACCTAAGTTCTCTGAGAAGTTAAATATGGTTTATCCCCAAACTTTATCAAAAAGCTTTCTGTTAGTAAAATGAATCACTGAAGTTAAACATTTTCTCATTTATTAACAAAATACTGAGTCAATTCTGACGATCAACTTGAAAATTTTTCATTATATACACCAAAAATCTGATTCACCAACAAGAAGCTTCTTGCAATACAAAAAAATAAGATAATTAAAATATTTTCTTCATAATACAACTAATTCATATATACATCCTTTACTCAATGTCTAAAATGATTAGGAATTGTGGCACTTCTTTTGCATAAAACCCTTTCCTCTTTTTAAAACCCTGAGGTGAAAGGCTATGAATGTAATAAAACTAGAACCACAATTCTTCTCATGTCTATTGAATTGCTATTAGGTTTTAAAATTTTTACAAAGAAATGTGACAACTTGTAAAGCTGCTCTATAGTTTTTTAAGAAAACATTCTCAGAAACAAAAAAAGGACCTAAAATGACCCTATGAAAAATCCTTATAACACTTGTTAGTGTCGAGATGAGCGCCATTTTCCATTTCTACCACTGTCTCTTCTGCTATCATAGTCATGGCTCCAGCCATCGTGATTCCTGTCTTCATAGAAAAAATCGTCTCTGTTTCCTCTGTAATGATGGTCAGACAGATCACTGTAACGCTGTTCACGGCTGTAATGTCTATCCATCACGTAGGGATAAGAATTCAGTCTGACTTTTCTCTGTGATGATGGTGTATCTTGGCGCCACTGGGAGCTTGAAGACTGGTTAAAAGTATGATTATGTGACTGAACTGATGGGGAAAATCCTGACTGATCCAGATGTGGAGAACCAAATTTCCCTCCATATGACATCTGTCTCAAAACATTGTTCATCTGAGCGAAGAGGAAAAGAAGAAAATGTTAAGCACAAATATTTCTAGGTATCAAAGGCAACAGATATCTAGCCAATGTTTAAGCACAATAATGGAAAAGCAAAATCATTCTTGCCTGTCTGAATTTTAGTTAAACACAACTAAAAATAGTAAATGGTGAGTGAAATGGACTAGTAAGGAGAAAAACAGAGGTAAGTACTAAGTGACTACTAGATCACTGGTTCTCAAATTCTGCCTATGGGAAGACATAAGGCAATGATTTTTTTTTTTTTAATGGTTCATAGCAAAATGAAAAAAATACATTTATAAAAGCTCATATCCCTTTATACTAATTTCTCAATTTAATTTTATTTCACTCTTGTATTTTATTCTGCAGACTGTGAAATACACAAGTCTAGGTACCATGAGCCAAGTTGTGATTTGGGCAAAGAAAATAAAAATACAAATAGGAGAAGCAGCTCTTCTATTTATCTTTGATCTTATAAATACAGATTTCAGCCTAGTGAAAACTGAAATCTACAAAGATCATGCTAGTCTAACTAAAATTTAAGAAGTTAAAAAAGAATTTTAACTAAGTATGATTTTTCTTTTTTAGCAACTCAAGTTGAATAATCAGCTTACCACTGCTTGTCTCTGAAAATTTTCTGAAGATGAGAAAGATCTCTGAATTGTCTGTGATGATGGAGTCATGTTATCCACCGTCCTTTCATGAAAAGTAAAAAATAATAAAATCAACATATAATCATTCATTCAACAAATAAACATGTCAATCATGAGCAAGACACAGTCTTCAAAGATAGGAATCAATAAAACCAACCAGGTATCAGCTCTCAAGGAGCCAGGGGTAAGGATTCAGACAATAAGAGAATTTCACATGGTTATAAATACACAGTAATATACAACTATAGAGCAAGCTGAGGTGAGAGAGAGGGGATTCTATTTTAGCCGACTGGTCAGGAATGGCCCTTCTAAAAAGGAAATATTTGAAGTGAGAGCTGAACAAGATTACCTGAAGGCAACACATTCCAGTTAAGGGAAGGACTAGCAGTGGTGAGCAAACTATAGTCTGTGGGCCAAACCCAGTTTGTGCAAAGCTTTATTGGAACACAGCCAACCTCTTTTGTTTTTGTGTGGTACTACAATGGCAGAAGAAACTAGTTCTTTATAGGAAAAAGAAAAACCTGTCAATTTACAGAGAAAAAAAAATTATCAATTCCTGGGCCAACAGTGTAAAAGGCCTAGACTGAGCACTAAAATGAAAAGGATTTGATCAATTAGACATAACAGGTGAGGGAAACAGAAGAAATAAAAGATAAAATCTAGGGCTATACCCTGGTGGTCCAGTGGTTAGGATTCCACACTCTCATTGCTGAGGGCCTGGGTTCAATCCCTGGGTTGGGAAGATCCCCTGGAGAAGGGAACAAGCTACTCACTCCAGTATTCTTGCCTGGAGAATTTCATGGACAGAGAAGCCTGGTAGGCTACAGTCCATTGGGTTACAAAGAGTCAGACATGACTGCGTGACTTTCAAAGAAAAGAATTACTGAGACAGGAAATAGGCTTTGGGGAATAAGGAATTCTATAACATAAATATTAATTTTAAGGACTTAAACCTTATTCCCCACTTCCTAAAGAAGTAACTTGCTCTACAGAAAAGCTCAGAAAAGGTTTTAATTTTATTTTAAAATACACCATTGGAATCAAACCACCAATTGATTTATCTTATAGTTTAGATCTTTTAATTTAGGGGTCTTTTTTCTTACTTTTCTAAAGCAGAACTATTTTACTTATACTCTACAAAGAAACCTATTTACACATTCATTCATTCATTCATTCCACTGAGCACATGGTATCTCAGGTCCCTGTTCAGGAATCAAACCCATGCCCGCTGCAGTGTAAGGGCAGAGTCTTAACTGCTGGACCACCAGGGAAGTCTCATATTTTGTTTTCTTAAATCATATTGTGTCTGCATGCCAAGGGGGTAAAAAGTATAATTTTACTTGTACAGAGTATAAAAATCAGATACATACTAACACTTGATTATAACTATTTACTTCTGTATTTCCCCCCCTCCAAGAATTTCTGCTGCTGCTGCTGCTGCTAAGTCGCTTCAGTCCTGTCTGACTCTGTGCGACCCCATAGACGGCAGCCCACCAGGCTCCCCCGTCCCTGGGATTCTCCAGGCAAGAACACTGGAGTGGGTTGCCATTTCCTTCTCCAATGCATGAAAGTGAAACATGAAAGGGAATTTCTAAGACAGGTTAAAAACTTTTTTTCCCCCTCCACCTAAGATAACTTAAAAGTTTCTATAATAGTGGTTAGAGATGCTTCAAATTCCAACTGTACTGAAAAGCATTTAAACACAATTTCAGCTGGCAAGAAGAGCATACCCTTCCAGATTACTGCTTTCTTAGAATTTCACCTTCCAGACTCTTCATATTCATTCACCCACTTCTTTTCAGCTCCTGGCACCACCTTAATCCAAACTATCAACTCAACCCCAACAGCTTCCTTGCTTCTAATACCAATACTCTGCTACCAACAGATTCATAATTGGTCTATTTTCACCCTTGTCTCCTTCAATCCATTCTCTCCCAGTGCAACCAAGTAACTCACTAAAATACAAACCTGTTCCTTTTACTATCCTACCAAAAATGTTTCAATGTCTTCCTACTGTTCTTAAGGTGAAATTCCAAAATCCTAATTATGACATATAAGAAAGACCGTATGCCATCTGGCCTCTATTTATTCTGACAGGATCACCAACAACTCTCCATTTTTCACTCATTATGATCCAGGTACACTGGCCTCTCTCAGGTTCTCATTCACTTATCTCTCCTTATTAAAACTTTCTAAACACTTTCTACTCATATCATGTGGGTGTGCTCAATCACACTGCCTGGGTTTGAAAACAAGCTCAATGCTTATGAGCAGTTCACACTTGAGCAAGTTAACTACAATCCTCATTTTCTTCATACATAAGATAGAGATAATTCTTACCTCATAAGACTGCTGTGAGGGATAAATGAGATCATAAATACAAAGGACTTGGTGACAAATCTGACAGGTGACAGGATTTTTTAACTTTCTTGAATGAACCCCAATACGATTGATAAACTGCTCTAAGGCCATACCAGGAAAAAACTATCCCTAGTAAAACATCAACCTCCCCAAAGAAAACTATTTAAGTAGAAATAAATATGGTACCTTTTCTAATCCTTAGTAACTAAGAGGGATTTTGGAAATCATCTGAATCAACTTTTTTTCCTTACAAATGGAAAGACAGGGCCAGAGACTAGCTCAAGGTTACACAATTATTAAGAGACATATTCAGAATCCAGCTTTATGAACTCTTAGTCTGTTTACTAATAGGTATTTTTAATATGCAAGTAACAACAAATTAGTGGTCATAAACTAATGTGAATTTAAAAAATAAAGCAGAAAACAGAGGGTAGTACAAATAGCAAGGGTTAAGTAATGTTCTGAGAAATTCTGTGCCAGTATATACATGTATGTGGGCTTGGGTATATGTCTTTACAATGAACATAGTTATACATGTATTTATTTTAAGGGAACTATATACAATGGGCCTATAGTCCCCTTAGAATAGATACTATGTGTCACTATAATCCAAAACAGCAAATACAGCAGCAGAAAAAAGAGGCAGAAACATAATGAAGGAAGCCAATCACTCATGTGTTTTTTGAGATCACAACCTAAAAAAATTCCTGAAAAATGATTTTTAAAATAGGTGTAAAACATTACCTGCTAGGAGACGTGGAAGTAGGGCTTGAATTTCCAACATGATGCTGGGGATATGACAAACTGACCTCCTGTGAGGCATGGCTACTTCCTAAGTGAAACAATTCGAGAAATTCTTATTGTTAGAAAGTTTAATTTGAAGTTTTGTATTCCTCAGCCCAATCATTCCAAAAAAGGTAGACATAACACTTAAAAGTGAAAACCTCAAATTTCAGTAAATTGCTTTATAGTTCAGAGAGAAAACTAAGTGTCTAATACCAGATACATTTAAAACAAAGGGTTACAAATAAGGTACTACCCAGTGTATAACAGACAATGTATAAATACCCAATCTGGCCATTGTACTCTGATCCCCACACTAAACTGTAAAACTGAATACAAGGAAAGTTCCATCCTTACATGATCACGTATCAAAATTTGTAAAAGCAAATTACAAAGCAGTCAGGAAGACTTTCAGGCAATAATCTTTGTGCTTTTAGAGCATGAACCCAAAATCAGTCATTCTAACAATGAAGGTTTATGTTCTTTTCACCAACCCAAACTGAAATTTTAACTCTCTTGAAAATTACCACTTTCAAAATCCATACTGTCAATATTTTTATTGTCAATACCCATTTTTAGCGATATATAGTTTACTGTTTATAAAGCTTAAAGCATTTTCACCCAAAAAGACGTTCTCAAAAAGAGAGGTTCTCTAAAACTGAATAACAAAATTAAAAACAAAAAATGAAGCAGTGAACAATCTCTCTGCCCAAATCATCAGTAAATAGTTACCTGATCTAAACTGAATCTTGATAGGCCTTCCAAAAAGTTTGATTCCATTAAGCAGATTCATGGCGTAAGGAACAGATACTTCATGTTTGAAATTCACAAACGCAAACTGCTTCGGTTTACCATCCTTGTCTTTTGGAATTTTCACTTTAATTACTGGACCAGCCTACAGACACAAAAAATTGTTCAGAATTTCAGTAAGGCAGTTTCAGGAAAATACTCAAATTTCACAAAATTGACAATGTAACCATGGACTCTTACAAAACGGATACACACGGATTTCCCTCACGGTTAAAGATCCTATAGATAGGACTGAAAATTAGGTTAACTTACTTCTGGGGAGGGAGCCCATAAGGAACTGGAAACCCAATCACTGAATTTACACTTCACTGCACTTTATGACTTTAATGTCGCGGACAACACCCATCGTTTCCCCACTTTGTGGAAATTAATGTTTATCAAGAGCAACAGAAAGTTTTCTTGGACTAAAAGTTCACTTTTGCATTGATCGATCAAACCATTGCCAGCTGTTGGAGGGTACAACTGGAAGGAACAAGTTTAAACACGTTTTAATACAGATCTTAATACAGAAACACTACAATGCCGCTTTCCTACGGAGTCTGAGTCTGAGCTTTTTCTATGGAGTCTTTCCTTATGAGTCTGTCTTTGCCGCAACTTCGTAAGAAACTTAAGTGGAAAATGGATACTGACAAATTGAAATAAAATTTACAAGCAGAAGATGAGAAAACGAGGAAAAGTGCAGCTCAACGAAGGATCCACACGTTTGAGGCTCCTTAAAGAGCCTGAATCTTTAGCACAGGAATGCCCTACTGAGAACCCACCACCACCTTTAGTCTTCACTTTGGCCTGAACTCATTAGGGTTCTTCTTAGAAAGCCCCACGTAGCGAGCGCCTCCCTTTCTAAGCCTGACCCCCGCCTCCAGCCCGCCCACCTGTCAGGGTGCCGGGACGCACCGTCCCGCTTCCGCCAAGGAAGCGCGGATCGCCGTTGGGCCGGACCCTAGGCGGGCCGGAAAACGAAAGGAATAGGCTTATCCCAGCCGCTTACCTGGTGGAAAAGCTCGAAGAGGAGCTCCTCTGTCACTTTCGTTTCAAGGTTGCCCACAAAGAGAGTGCGATCCGCTTCGGCTGCCGCCGCCCCCATCTCAGCGTCGCCCCCTCCCGAAAAAGGCCGAAGGGTCGCCGCCGACGCACGCACTGCGCACTCTCAGAAACCTCACGTCCTCGCGCACCCAGGCGTCACCGACGTAAACGTCAATCACGCCGGCTCTCCGCAGCGTTGACGTGCACTGACGGACTGCGCATGCTCCGAGGAGAAGGCTCGGAGAAGGCTCCTGGTCGCCCACTGCTGTAGTGATGGCTTCCTGTGAAGTCGGTCTCCGCTGTCGAGATCCGCTGAATTGATCTGCGGAGTCGCGGAGGGCCTACCTTGACTGAAAGACGTAACATTAGATACTACGGGCAGTGTTTGAAGATGGCGCAGAACTCTGTGTCCCTGTCCGCCGGCGATCGAAGGAGCCGGGTGGCTTACCTCAGCTCTTCCCACGGTGACCTCAGCTCATCGGCTTTAGCGTTGGCGATGGTCTCCGGAGACAGCTTCCTCGTTACCAGGCCCGAGGCGATTCTTCCAGAATCTGTTCCTCGATCCTCTGTGCGGCTGAACTTCCGGACCGAGAGTCGTCGGGCGCCTGGTGGCGGCCGAAGCCCGACCCGCTTTAATGAGGGAAGGGAACTGGAGGCGCGGAGACGAAGCCGACAGGCCGGATTCTCACCTTACCCGGGCCCTGCGGTGAAACTCAACCTTCTAAGAAGTGTCCTGCAACAGCGTCTGGTGGCACTTGGAGGAGTTATCGTAGCCCGTCTTTCGGCTTAAAACCAATACCTTCCTCGGCCCTTCAATTAGCGTGTAAACAAGGCCTCTCTCTAAAATACTTTCTTGGTGCAACCGAAGTCTTCTTTTTAGAGGGGCGTCTTTTCTCTAACCTAGCGCAAAAGAAAATGTTTGCAGTTACTGGAGTCACACGGTTTTAAATAGCCATGATGATTAGGTTGGAAGGGAGGAGGAGCAGAGATTCTATTGAGGTAGTCACAAAGCTGAGCTGATTGGATCATCCTTCTCAGAGGTCAATACTCCGTTTATCCTCCCGACAAAGAATCACATTTTTCTCGCTTTCCACAAGTCTTAGGGACCTCCCTGGCAGATTCTCCTACTTTGAGACTTGTAATTCCGAGCTTCCTTAACTGCCTACCTTTCCACCTCGGGCTAATATTACCTTTACTTATGTTGGTTTATTACTCTGGCATGTCCTCCCACCTGTGGTCCTACACTTAATCCTATCATTTTGTCCCTTAGACTTCTTCCATCCCCATCCTCCATCCTTTCTTAAGGAATGGCTATAGACTTCAGTCTCTACTACACTAAAGCAACAAAAGCAAAACCTAAACCTTGCTGCACCTTTAAATTGTTAAACGGATTTACGTTTCTTTATTTGCCAAAGGTTCCAAATTAATTTTTACACTGTCATTTTATTACTCGCAGTCAATCCCAGTTTCCTTAATCTGAATCTTCTCCCCAAATAGGCAAAAATTGGAAACCTTCATCTTACAGTCTACTACTGTTAGGAAGCTGATCATGTATTCACTCTAGCATCTTCCTTAAACTTTCCTGTTTGTCTTTTCCCATTCAAACATTAAATTATATTTGAAGATCTTCCCAGTGCTAAGCACTTTAGATGAACTTTTCCTAGCCCTGCTAACAAGGAGATCAAGCATACTTTGGATTTAGTGGCTAACAAATCACCAGGCTGGATTGTCCATTAGGTCAGGTGATGAAAATAACCCTGGTTGCCATGGCTTTCCATAATATTGCACTATCCTGGTTCTTCTCTTAACCTGGCTGACTACTCTTTGAAAGTGTTGCTCAGCCACCTTGACTTTTTTCGACCCCTTGGACTGTAACCTGCTGGGCTCTTCTGTCCATGGAATTCTGCAGGCAGGAATACTGGAGTGGGTAGCCATTCCCTTCAGGGGATTTTCCTGACCCAGGAATTGACCTGGGTCTCCTGCATTGTAGGCAGATTCTTTACCATCTGAGCCACCAGGGAAAACCACTCTTTAATCTGCTAATAATTTTGTCAATCATATGTTCCCCAAGGTTTAAAGAGTGATATTGGGAGGAAATAAGTGGGTTTTGTAAGTGGCAAATCTTAATGTTAAGCAGGTAAGAGTCTAACTTTTTCCCAGTGGACTCTGGTCTATAATTGTGTTAGATAAAACAAAATTACACACAAAACAATTGAATTCTGAAAACTACATTCTAAGAAGAATTTTGACAAACCAAAGAGTGTCCATATGAATGATTAATATAGTGAGAGGTCTAGAAACCACCTCTTAAGAAAAATGTTTGACAGGGTAATAATAGCTACATTTTATTAAGTACTGTGTGCAAGGCAGTGTGCTAGGGGCTTTTATTGTTTATTCAGATATTTATTGAGAACTTATTCTGTGCCTGCTACTACCTGTGTTAGGTATAGAATAAAGTGGTGAACAAGATAGATAAGGTCTCTGCTCTTATGGAGCTTTATATATGTCATTTAATTTTCATAACAGCCCATAACAAAAGTATTATACTTTATTTCATTGCTAGTAACCAAGGCACGAAGAATTGAAATAAACTTTCCAAGGTCATGCAGCTAGGTAGAACCTTGAAGCCGTTCAACACAGGTTCCTCATTAGAATCATGTAACACCAAAAAGGACTTGAGTGACTATTTTCTCAATTTTCCCAAAGATAGTATCTAACTAATGCTATTCTAGATAGCCGAAAAGAAGTTAGTTCATAATATATGGATTCCTTATGGTGGCTCAGAGGTTAAAGCATCTGCCTGCCATGCGGGAGACCTGGGTTCGATCCCTGGGTTGGGAGGATCCTCTGGAGAAGGAAATGGCAACCCACTCCAGTATTCTTGCCTGGAGAATCCCATGGACGGAGGAGCCTGGTGGGCTACAGTCCACGGAGTCGCCAAGAGTCGGACACGACTGAGTGACTTCACTTCACTTCTGGCTGGATGTGGTTGAGAAAGAATCTCAAACCTATAAGTGAAGAGTTTGGAGAAGAATAGTAAAATTAAGACTGAAGGTAAGAAAGATTTTCATAAAACTTAGAGATGCCTAGTGGTGGAAAATACCACTTTACAAGATAATGAATTAACTGCCCAAAGTTCTCATAGAGGCTAAATTGTGTCAGTTTTGAAATCAGACTAGACGACATCTTCAGTTCTTTCCCATTTGACCTCTAATTCTACACTTTAAATTAAAAACTTGATTAAAATTGAAAAGAGAGAACTGGGGGGTGAGAAGAGAAAAATGAAGTATGATACATAGGATGACCATATTTACTGTGCAAACCAGGGCACTTAGGAGGGAAAGGGTGGTGGGTATCAATTATGTTTTACTTTAGCAACTTGATGTTTACTTTAGGCATAAAAAAGGTCTGTCCTAGGCAGCCAGGTTGGATCATATCACTAGGAGATGCTGCAACATTAAATACACCTTTGAGACATATTCCTTAGCTTCAGGGAAAGAAGGCTGAGATTTGTGAAGGAAGGGACAAAAATTTGGCATAAATGTGCACAGAAGCATGTAAGAGGAAGAGAACCCAGTGGAAGTGAATTGGTTTCTGTTTGTTCTCACATAGGGTCATCAGAAGTAGGGATTTGATTAAATAATAAATAGTGTACATGTGCCAGAAATAAAGAAAATGATACAAAAAATTGTTTGATAAGAGTATAACCTTGTTCACATAAATTCTGCATCATTTTATTTATTTTTTTGGCCACACCACCAGACTTATGGAATCTGAGTTCCACGACCAGAGATCAACCCTACACACCCTGCAGTGGGAGTGCAGAGTTTTAACCCCTGGACCACCGAGGAAGTCCTAATGCTTCATAATTCTAAATCTGAGCTGATGAATCTCTAACTTCTCCTGGTTCTTAACATTTGCAACTGTCCAAGTTACAACATCTTCCTAGAATCAAAAAGACTGTGTTATGGAAGCAAGGACTGATAGAAACCTCTTGAAATGATCTAAAGCAGGAACAACTAAGTTTCCCAAAAGTGGTCCATGTTATTAAAAATCCAAATGTTGTTATACAAAATGACTGTAAGTATCGCTGCCTGTGTAGCATGTTACCATTCTAAAATAGATGAATTTTCTAAGACAAAAAATAATCCCTCAGTACTCCATTGTAAGTTTTAAAAAAGCCATGGTAACTTCCTTTTTGTTTTTATAGACCTTTGTTTATTGTATCATACTAGGCAACTGACTAGTATGTGTTGAAGGTTAAGTTCTATTAGTATATTTACTTCCTCTGTTCATCAGCTCTAAAGACTTGAAAAGAATGCCCGTTTGGGGTACAGGAAAAAGGAGGCTCTCTCAATAGCTGGATTTGGTGCTAAGCCTAATTCTGAGAGGGGTAACTCAGCAGAAAGAAAAGAAAGTCCTATGGGAGGGAAGAGTAGGTAGACTTTTAATTTTGAGGCTTAGCTGTATTTCAAACAAAATTATGTCTTTTATTCCTTTGGTGAATCCAGATCACACTCAGGTGCAGCTTTTTTCTTTGCAGTTTCCATGAGTGTGTATGCTAAGTCCCTTCAGTTGTGTTCAACTCTTTGTGACCCTGTGGACTGTAACCCACCAGGCTCCTCTTGTCCATGGGATTCTCCAAGCAAGAGCACTGGATTGGGTTGCCATTTCCTCCTCCAGGGGATTTTATCAGGGATTGAACCCATGTTTCTTGTTTCCTGTGTTGGCAAGTGTGTTCTATACCACTGACGCCACCTGGGAATCCCAATTTGCATGAAAAGTACTCTTATTTCCCTAGCCAACCAGTGTGTAAGTTTGAATGCCTATGACTCCATACTACCTATTTTCCTATCTTTATTGCCTATGTCCATTCAGTTGCAAAGTCCTGCTCCTTTTATTTTCGCAATGTACGTATGTTAACATTTATATGTATTTCATTACCTATACTGTATTTACCTGAACATCTATCCTGTTTTGTTTGCTCTGTTTCTCTGCATCCTAAGTGTGTCTAGCTGCAGACCAATAAACTCAAAGCATATCTCTCTGATCCCATAGTTAAACTATAACTTTACAGTACTGACTGTAAATTCTCCAGTGTTAACCATAGTAAATCCCACAGACTCTGTATGAGAAATACAAGATGCTGTTTTGAAAAAGGACACAGTAAAATTGACAAGTGCATGTTTTATCACCTTCTTAGGGAGACATAATGTGTAATAACTTGTTAAAATTTCTGGTAATTCATTTGCAGGATCGTAGTTATCTGATTAGGGATCAAACCCATGTACCCTGAATTGGAGGCTCAGAGTCTTAACCATTGGAACATGAGAGAAGTCCCTCAAGCCGGCATCTTTATTCCACATGATTTCTGGTACCTGTCTATGTCTTTGGCAAGTGGGCGGGAGAATGGAGGCAAGCATGCAGGTGCAGATTCCCAGCCACTGAGGAGGAAGACTGGCTTTGTTACTAAGAAAGGGCATTTAGGAACATCCCCTAATGTATATGGGTAGGTGCAATTATTAAGTGTGCTAATAATGTAATGTTAAAAAAACTTATGGTTTACCTGGCTTTTATTTCACTAGAATATCTGAAGGTAGCCCTACTTCACAATACACTTCTGAGTCAGAGGAGAAAAATAATTGTCTTTACTGTCTTTCCAATGAATACAGTAAGCCTAAGACCTGAGAGTAGCCGAAGCAATGAAGCTTTAAAAACTGTACGTTCTTTAAACTGACTTTTAAGACTTTCCATAATCTGACCAAATTATATTGCCAGTCTTCTTTCTTA